GACCAATCAGTTCAGGAGTTCCTCAAGGCTCTATCCTGGGACCGCTTATCTTTCTATTATTCGTCAATGATCTAGCCAAATACTTCAACATCAACAACAATAGTCTCACTCTCTTTGCTGACGATGCCTCATTAGAGGTCTCAGCACACAGCCTAGAGAAATTGAAGTCATCAACGGAAAGGTTTATGACACACTTCTTAGATTGGTGCAAGTTAAACAATCTGATTGTTAACTTGAATAAAACAAAATGTATCCATTTTAGTTCTTCCATCGGTCTTGATAAACATCCTACTGTCTTTGATATTAGAGGGGTGGAATTGGTATCAACGAATTTTATAAAATTTCTAGGAGTCTATGTGGATGATTGCTTCAGATGGTCTGAACACATTACAGTCACTTGTAAAAATGTTAACCAAGCGTACTATGCTCTAAAACATTTTATGTCCTTGCATGCCTTGCTGGACGTATATTATAGCTTAGTCTACAGCCATTTAAGCTACAATGTGGTTCTTTGGGGATATGCCACCAACAAAAATAGGGTTTTTATTTCTCAAAAAAAAATTATCAGAAAATTATATGATATCCCATGGAGAGAATCGTGCAAACAACACTTCATATATCAAATCCTGCCATTCCCTTGTATTTACATATTTAAATGTTTACTATACATCCACGATAATTTAACAAAATATAACACAAATTCTTCTTACCGCAGTTACTCAACCAGAAATAGAAAATTGTTAAGTATTCCTAGACACAGATCCTCTAAATTTGAACAGTCACCCAAATATATGGGATTAAAATTATTCAATCACCTACCTGATCACTTCAAAACCATGAGTTTGATGTCATTTAAAAGAGAAGTTAAAAATTTGCTCCTGTCTAAGGCTTATTACAGTGTCAGTGAATTCCTTTTAGACGACTTTAGCTGATTGCGGTCCAGACTTTCATATAGATTTTATTATTTTATTATACATCCAATTTTGATTAATCTTGTTTTTTTTTCTTTATATTTTATACATTTTTATACTTTAAAACTACCGAGATATTTTATCTTTATGTATGTTTATTTTCTTTATACTATTTTAACGTGTTGTACTGACATGTCCTATACGTTGGTAACGTCTCAAAGGATAGATAAATATCATTATTATAATCAAATCAAGTCCCACGGTATGATGACGAAATCAGATCTGCTTAGAAAATTAGAGACAGGGCTTACAAAGAATTCATTGAAAGTTCCAGCACCGAGAGGGAGGAGTCCTGGAATCGATATAAACTGAGACAGAATCAAGTTGTTGATATGTTAATGCAGTTGAAATGTCAGACTTCAGAGCAAAAAATACTTTACCGGTTATTGAGAAAGTTTTGGAAATTGTTGTACATGAACAAATTACTAGTTACTTTACTGAAAATAACCTGTTTATAGGAAATCAATCCGGATTTAGAGAACAGCACTCATGTGAAAGTGACCTTCAATTAACTCTTTCAAAATGGAAGAATGAAATCGATAGCGATAAATTTATAGTAGCAGTGTTCCTTGATTTCAAGAGAGCATTTGAAACTATCAATAGGCAAATATTACTTCGTAAACTGAGATATTATGGAATCGATGGAACAGCCTTAAGTTGGTTCAAAAATGATCTCAATGGCAGGTCGCAAATAACTAGAGTGGGCAAATGTTTCTCAAATGAAATTCCAAACAATATAGGCGTAGCTCAAGGGAGTGTACTGGGACCACTGCTGTTCATAATTTACCTGAATGAAGTAAATTATATATACAAGGTTATGATTTTTTTAATTTATTTGCAGATGACACGTTACTTGCATGCTATGGACATGACGCTGTAGAAACAGTGGAGCGCATGAATCGATTGTTGAAAAAAATTGATATATATTTAAACGAAAATAAACTAAAAATCAATACGAATGAAACCAAATCAATGATAATTAGTAAGAAACATAAACTGAAACCAATTGACTATGAAAGCTTCCACTCGAAGTTGAGGGAGATCAACTGAGTAAATTCTTGGAAGTTGTAAATACAGTTACTAGATAAGATACATTTCAATTTGGATTTGAATTTTTTTTGAGGTAAATCTCGAAATTGAGAAGGTAAATTGTTATAGAGTCCTGTATCAATTTTGGTGGTTTTTTGAAGCCTTGTTTTTGGTTCAACTATTCTGGTTTTGAACCTTGTATCATATTCATGTCATGTATCTCTTCATGAGTTTCATAGCATTCAATATTATTTTTAATATTGTTATATATGTACAGCTGAATCACTCTGTATTTGTGGTCAGGATAGCATTATAAAAACGAAGTATTTTTTTATATTTTTCATATTCTGATTTGCGACCGACGATCGCAGACTTTCCTATTTTCAACAGTAATGAATAAACTCTAATTCAAATTAGTTGGATTTTATTTACATCATTCTGTTAGGATATTCAAATTAATATCAAGACAGAACAAATATATATTAGTTTGTGGTATATAATTAAGGCATAAACAGTCATTACTAGAGCAGGAAATAAAGGCCTACAACTAGCCTCCCAATTTGACTTTGTAATACATCTTATGGCAGACTTTTGTAAAATTAGTAGTTTAACTATGTGTGTTTGAACTGCATTACTCCAAGATAAAGTAGCATACTGAAGGTGTGAATGGAATAGGCAGTAATAAGAAGTTAGCGCTGCTGTTTGATTTACAAGGTCTCGAACTTTTTTAATAGCAAAAATAGCCTTGGAGAGTTTAGTACACAAAAAATTCACATGTTGTGTTCACTGAAGGTGACTGTCAATTTGTACACCTAGACTTGTGTACAAATATCTACGCTGCATTAAATGGGAAAGAACGCCTGATAACTCTATACTTTGATCTCAGTAGGGCATCTGAAACAATGGATCATACACTCTTACTTGTAAATTGTACCGTATTGGAGTTAGAGATGTGACAAATAATTGGATTGCTTCATACTTGGAAGATAGGAAACAAGTAGTAGTCATGAATCAAAGTAAATCACAACCGAGAGCAATCAATATCGGTGTACCACAAGGATCTATCTTAGGTCCCGTTTTATTTATCATTTTCATGAATGACATGGCTCACTCCTGACCTAATGCAAAAAAAATATTTATGTATGCTGATGATACAAATATACTAGTCTCAGAAACTAAGACACTGGATGCAGTATCGAGGGCAAATATCACCACAAATGAATTTCATAAATGGTGTCTTTATAATGGGCTACTAGTAAATGTATCTGAAACTTTTTTTATGACAACTCTAACGCAAAATATGAACAATAATGTTAGTTATCTGATAAAAATCAATAATAAAAGCATTGAAAAAGTGTGTTAAGAATCACACGTTAAAAGGTAAGACCTCGTTAGTTCTTAGCTACAAGTTTCTCAACTTACAGTTATTTTCACAGTTACAAATTCTTACACTGCCTTCACTGTATATAATGCAAATTACTGTAAATATAAAATAACAAGAGGCTTCAATGTTATCAAATAGTTCTATTCACAAATATTCAACTAGAAAGCGTGAAAATGTACGTCAACCTTTCTCCAGACTAATGATTGGGCAAAACTGTTGTATTTATCAAGGTATAAGGTGTTTTAATCGTTTTAAGGAACTGTTTGGTCCAACTCACGAATTGTCAAATCTGAACTGCTTCAGGAACGCTCTTCACAAATACTTGGAAGGAAAAGTATTTTTCTTTTGATGAATTTTTGATATTAGAGTATGTGCAGTATTATATTATCTTACATTATTACTATCATTAATGTATTGTTATTTTAATGTCTGTAATTGAACAATTGTTCCTTTATTTATGAACAGACGGTACTTCTTTACAATAAATACTTATTTTATGTTTGTATTTTTGTAACTTTTATTGTTTATCGACTTTTAATATATACTTATTTTGTATTGCAGTAGCTTGTAGGTCCTGTTATGACTAGTCCAGTAAGTTTATATGATGTGATTTTAATAAATTTGTATTGACTTCGGTGATGAACAAATTTGATTTGATTTGATACTCACAAAAAATATTCATTATGCAAAAAAGAATTCTGAGATGTATCCTAAATTTAGATCAAAGAAGCTCTTGTTAGGATTTCTATTGTAAAGTTGACATTTTGATAGTGCCCTCGTTGTACTTCTTGGGTCTTGTCTACCTTGTAAAAAAATATCCTGACCTGTTTTTCAGAAATAGTCAATATTCAAATAGTATGAATACCAGGCATTGTAACAAACTGGCTATTTCCAGCCATAACTGTACATATTTAAAAGGATTTCATTATCAGGCGATAAAAGTATATAGTTCTCTACTGCAGGAACTTAAAAATATCAGTCTTCAAGAAGTTTTGAAGTTCAGTCATTATTTGAGATATAAACGCTACTATTCGTTCAACTGCTGGTCGAGTAATTTCTAACTGTAACTTTCTTGATGATGAAACATCAATGTATTTCAATATTGTAATTTCAAAATTTAATCATTGTTAAAATCAGTACCTATCTTCTTTAGGGTAAATGAGAATTTAACTTCTCGAAAGTTTGACTTTTGCTGTTGATCGTATTGCAGTAAAATCATTACTTTTTTTTTCCGTAGTATACACTGGTCAGACCCTATCCCCCGAAGCCACGATACATTCGGGAGGGCGCGCCAGCATTATCAACCAACAACCACTCCCCACAAGGTGGAGTAAGTGATCATTGGGTCCAAGAATCATGTGCCCTGAGCAACGCAGTTAGCCAAGAATGGCAGTCTTCTGCATCTGTCCGGCTAAGATTCCTGGCTTAGTGCGGCAAGCCGGTATGATTTTGAGATTCTAGAGTAGAGGGGGGCATCATTTCACCAAGGACTCCACATTATTATTATATACCAAACTTTATCAGTGTACCAACCGAAAACAGATCGGTGATGTCATATATAACATTAACGACCTCGAACGTGTTGAGCTTATAAATAGATACACAAGATAACTTACACAAATTGAAAATGGCAGCTTAAGATCCAACCAATGCCTAACATGATGGTCTTGATAACTTTTTGTTGTTCCACATATTATATTTGATGTCAAGCAACATTCTAAAAATTGATTGTATTACTTTTATGCATTAATTATTCCTTCCCCAAGAATGTTTCTTACCTAATGGGATTTTCTTCTCCAAATAGAGTTCCCAGTTCTTCTGAGATCCACCATGTTCAGGATGTAGGTATGTTCCGTGCCCAATTCGGTTAGGTCCGAACATCAGAATTCTCTCAACTTCTGAATCATTTTTCACCTCAGCACAATGTATTGTAATACCTAGAAATTGTTTTGCTTTCTCGAATATAGTTTCATGAAAGTCACCTTCTTCGGGATTTCCGCACAAATCTATGCCCTTTATGACAGAAGGATATTTTTCCCTCATTCGTAGAATGAGCTCTAAAGCTTTTTCTGATTCTTCTTTAGAATGCCTCCTATCTAGCGACAGAATTAACTTCACCAATATTTTATTCCTGTATTCATGATTAACTATTGCTTTAACAACTGCTTCAATGTAATCTTCCTTTGTCATGCCAACATTAGCTCTAGGTGTAGTACGTAACTCTAAATAAATTACATTATCCTTAGCAAAATCTTCAATAACATTTCTAGTTGCTACATATACTGATTCAGGAGATTTTATCACATTATACGCTTGGCTGAAAAGACCAAAGCATTCTTGTAGACTCCTAGATGTTGGCGCTGTTCTTGTGAGTTTTTCATACTCGGCAATGGCACTTTCTGAACACCCCAGTTTTTCGAGTGTCTTTCCCGTTAAAGACCCATTCAAGTGGGCGTGTAATTCCTGGATAAAGAATGATTGTCAGTAACTACATTTATCTCAGCAGCATTGATTCAATCGAAATCAGAATTGAAAGTATTTAGATTAAAAAAGGAATGTTTTTAGGATAGATTCGTTTTTTTTGTCTGTAAAAAAGTCTTTCGGCTTTCAACTTCATCAAACAAAAAATATGAGACACAAACATCAAAAAAAAAATGGAAAATGGAACTAATTTCCTTCAAAGTTATAATCAAATAATAAGAAAAATAATGTTGATCCACCTTTGGGAAAGATCTAAGCTTTCGATACAAACAGTGATACCTTTGTATATAGACTAACCATATACAAAGGTAACACTTTTTTCAAATCTAGCAATAAGTACTTACAACTTTTGGTAGCTGTTTGAAATATTCACTTTCAGCCATTATTTGTCTCAAAAAAACTACGTGAAACAACTTTCATCAATTATCTCACTGAGAATTTACGACTTGAAAGTAGTTTTTGTTTTTTTTCATTTTAAAATATTAGGATATATTTGTTTACAAACAAATGTAAACGTTTTCCATCGGTAAAACCAGTGGCATATAAGAGCAACTGTAACGTTCCATTGGTAGCACGAGTGTATGTCGTACTTAAGAATGTCCTGTCAATAAAACTTGATGTTTACAACTTTACAACTACAAAAGTGTTGTTCTTGAAGTTTGAGAAGTGTAACAATCTGAGCTTTCTTTTTAGAAATTCATGAACAGGAACAAAATTGCGCTATTTGCGATGGGCATGCACTTTCAAAAGATTATCGCCAATTGATTGTTTAGTAAACCTTCAACCCAACATAAATAAAGATTCAGATTGTATGTAACAATTTTGCATGTTCTGTATTACCTAATGTAATTTTAAGGTTCTGTAGCAATAGGCTTTGGTATCATCAGGAGTTGGCTAAAAACTGACAGCAATTTGTGGAGTGGTTATGTTTCTGACTACAGTTGACCGCTCCATAATAATTATTCAGAAGAACATATTATTGGACTTCGTTAATTAAACTAGAATGCTGAACACATTGCTGCGACAAAGCTATTTTCCGGGGTTCGTTTTCCGTGTATACAGGTTTTTATACATGACGTTTCGTATACGATTGCGGTTGATAATATCGAAGACAACGGCATTAGATGATGTAGATGATACTACATATTTGATTTGGGTCTCCGAACTCATTCCACTGATGATGGACGAGGCCTCGTTCCAATTGATTGAATTAAATGACCTGATACGAGAGCAATTAAATACAGGTAGCCAGATTTTCAGTTGAAATTGTCTATGCTTCTGAATTTTAATCACTTCCCTATGTAGTCTTGTAACTCTTCAACTCTTATCGAGAACTTGGGTCTCTTCAAATGCGATAACCTGGGTACCTTCTCCAAAGCTGATTTATAGGGTAAGTCCCAGGCGACAGTTTCTTTTGTCTTCAGAGAGCCGGGTACTTACACTTCCCTTTTACTTTCAACGCAAACCGATCCAGAGCAATAAATATACGGCAAATTCCTTGTGTTGTTGAAGACTCCCTTTGAACTCTTTCTGATGGTTTTCATTGGGCTGCATATCAATTTCTCGTTTGTTTCTCTAGAACTCTCCTGATCCGAACTGTAGTTTATTTGCTTTAAGGACAACTAGAACACTTCTTCCGTTGCCCTCATAGCGTTTGATAATGTCTATGGCAGTCCTAGATGAAACGTCAGTAATAAAAACCTGCAGACCACGACAAAAACTCGTAAAATAGTTTGGACACAATTATCTCCGGCTGTGAACGTTTACACTCTTTGAAATTGTTTTGAGTTTTACATCAAACACTGATGATACCAAACACTAATCGAGAACGCCTAATTTCCGTACCTAATATATCGTTCAAGATGAGTTTGGTCACAACAAAAACATACCCAACTCCAAAGGTATTGCTGCACCAAGTAAATTGTGCAGGGTGAGATAGAAGGTGCTTTACCAAGGTTGAAAACATCATGCGAAAATAATGGATGAAATTCGATGTGCCTATCTTCAGTGTAACAGATATGAACAAAAGGAAAGTATGTAAAGTGACCATGTCAAAGTTACACTTCCTAACATGATGGGTAATTTGGGAGATGCAACGATATGAAATTATTATACTGACATAGATTGTAAAATTAATGGTTGAAATTTCATAATTTGCACCTCATATACTTCATTACTTGTTTATATGTACACTATATAATGTTTTGAAAAGCAAGAAGTAATTTTTGCAAACATCACTTGAAATATAATACAGTGTTGTGTCTCAAACCATTCATTATACAAATGGAAACCTTTTTTATTATCGATTTGTTAGAAAATTTAACTCTTCTAAAAAACTTCTGTTATCTCAAACCTAAATACCATACACCAAATTTGAAAAAACCTTTTATCTTACAGGGGGGTCCATCAATCCATGCAAGAGTAAACTACTGTCCCAGATTAAGAGATGAGCATTTTTGGTTCGTTAAAAGAGGACGTTAAATCAACCGTAGGATATTACTGATTGTCTCAATGGTGTCACTGGGCAATGAAAATTTTACCATTTTCTGACTGCCTAGGACTTTCCTGCCATGTCCTGCAAATGTTTCTAGGAGAAAACAAAGACTATTAGGGATATTACGGATCAAATTTTACAAGTTTGAGGACATCCTGTACTTGTCAAGAAGATAAAACACGAATCTTTCTAGATCATTTTATTGTTACACATAATATACATGGATATACCATAAACGATAACACGAGGACTGTTTCACGATTTTATTTCCTTATATGAAAAGTTCTTTTCAGTGGTGACTAGAGTTTTGACAGTCAAATCAAATCGAATTCATTCATTTTCCTAAAATAACTGCAGAAATTCTTAAGAATGTCTTTTATACATCTTAAGGGTAATTTGAAGTTCGAGGTTAGTAATATTATATACTTATAGTTATTAGCATATTGTTCAGAATATCTTCAAAATATTTCCTATCAACAGATTATGATTGATACATTCTACATTTTGAAATGTATCGAAATGTTGAAAGGAAGTGTTTTGTGTTCTTTTTGGAAGCGGGTCCGCACGTTTCTCTTCAAGAACGAAATAACGAAAAATCGAACTGTTTCAAATGAATAGTTAATTCAAGATAAATGATTTCGATTCGAAATGAATGGACCATCAAACACTAGTCGGCTTTGAACGCTGAACACAACAAAAGACAAGAACAAGAGATATTGTACTGGGACAAAGAACAATATCCACCATACCACACTGCCAATGCGGATTTATGGAAAAAGAGGGAGGGTAACAACCAGTGACGGCTCGTGTATTGGAGAACAGGGGAGGCTTAAGTCATATAGACTATATACACACAGAAAAGCCCGCCGGAGGCGCGAAAATTTTTATATTGTTGCACGCTTTGCTAAATACTAAAGTTAGGGCATGGGCATGACAATGCGTAAAAAGTGCATGAGGAGCTATGGACTTTATTTTAGTTTGTAAACCATTCAAATGGCCGGCCATGACCGTAGCCCCATCATAAGTTTGCGCAATTAACTTTTGCCTAAAATTATAGGTGTCACACGTACGAATTAAAAAATGAAACAAATCGCCAGCTGTGCGCCCAGATGAAACATCTTGAAAACCCATAAAACGTTCTACCACATTACCATCTTTGACCTTTGACATATCTAAAAACGATTGAAAGTTGTGATGTACAGGTAATATCGGTAGTTTCATCAATTTCCCATGCAAAAAAGAAACACTTTCAATCTCCTTGCTTATATTTTCCTTAATAATATATGCCGCACTGTCTATAATAAGCTCATTTTGGATGGTTTTTGAGGTGCCCGAAAAAACGCTACCGTTTAAAAAAGTGCAAAATTGTGAATCATATTTGCCCCACAACACGAGGTAAATTTTTTAAATCGGAGTATCCTATTTTAGATCACGTTTGGTATTTGGTTTGTACGGAAAATAAAACACAGGGCCAACAAAAAAGTTTTTCTCGTTTAATGGAGCCGGTTAACTAATCGCATCTATCGTACCAACTAATATCAAATCCTCGATTTTGTCGATTATCTGACGATGTAATTGAAATCAAATTTGGTTGAGGCTTTCCCAGCGTTTTAATAATATGTTCTTGTTGAATACTCTTCGTGAGCAAAACAATAGCAAAATCAATACTCCTGACCGCTCTGGACTGAATGATTCCGTACAACCCATCTCGTCTTGTATTTGTAAATCTTTTGCTGGAAAAATCCTCACTTGTTTACTTTGTGGTAAATGTTCAAAAAGTACTGAAAACTTATGTGAATTTCTGGAACTTCATCTAGCTTTTCCTAATACGACTAATTACCAGTCCGTGCGAAGCTTATTTTTAAATCATCTAAAAATGGAATTTTAAACAGGTGATGATCGACTGTATTGTCAAACATGCGCCAAACAAACTGACTGTTATAAAGAAACAAGTATATCTTAGGCACCAGTCAATCTAATAATAACACTGATGATTTTCAAACAAGACTCAACCTCTAACGGAAGCAAGAAACTCTTTGGAAGGTTCAAAATAGATGAACATTTCAACCTAGCAGACCACTGTTATAATATTCATGCAGTCATTGTTCACTGTGGTTCTGGCGTTGAATTTGGTCATTATTACGCCTTGGCCAAAAAAGAAACGGACTGGTTTAAGTTTGACGATAGTCGTGTCACGAAGTGTTCTGGCGATGCATTGAATTTATTGGAGCCTCTGGAGACACCCTACATTTTGTTTTATAAGAGAGTGGACATTGTTAGATCAAGATCTTCAGATGATGTGGTACTGCAGGTTTTTCCGGGTTTTCCTGCAGCTGAAAAAGCAAATGCGCCACTGGAATCAATGAAGTCGCCCCGGAGCGCCAATTAATTTTTATTGTTGTTTTTATTTCATTTTTATTGTTATTTGAAAATATAATACCAATGAAATAATGTAAAATTTATTATCGTAAGATGAAGACTTGACATTATTTGTCAGCAACCGATCGACTATATCGTCAGATTTTTTAATTTCGTCCAACTTATCCATAATAAATGAAAAAAAAACTTACCGAAAAGTGAAAACCTGAAAACACCTTGAAATTATAAGAAAACACTTTGAAAACACATTAGAAATATTACCAAAAAGCACTGCTATAACATAATACTGCCTGTTTTATATACAAATAACAAATATTATCAAGAAACACTAAAACGATTTACCGGAATATTTTTTAGTCCCTGTCAGTCACGGTATCCCGTCCGAATAATTGAATAAAAAACAAACGCAGTCCTACACTAACGGAGACCAACTGGAGGCTAGCCTCCTCTGACGCTATAATTTCTGCAACTGAAATTACAAATCGGGACGTATGTCGCTGGTTGGATCGGTCTCGTGGAGCCTGTGTTTTTTAAAGCGGTCGGAGGCTTGGCTCCCTTGGAACGTATGGCATTTATCATTTCAGGTTGATAGTTTATTCGTTATTCGTTCATGAGTGGTGCGTTTGAGTTTTGTTGATGCAGGATACAGTGTGGTACGTACTAAGTAGTGAGTGATAGTGGTTTTTCGGGTATATTATGTATTTATATTAAAAATTAGTGGTAAAGTAATGATATCCAAGCATTTTCAGAAAAAAATTATCATAATTATTTGTCAATATCTTTTAATTTATTGTGATGAATATCCTCATATTTTATGGGGAGGCTTAGCCTCCCTTGCCTCCTCTGACGAGCCGCTTCTGGTAACAACCCCTCCCCTCCCCCACCCACATCAACATTCAATACTTAAATGAAAGGAACCTCAAACGTCAGAATTGCTACACACTTCTTGAAGCACGTTTCACCAATAACTACCACCAGGAGATGAAGTACACTCATTCATAACTCTAAAACTGGTCTCTATTGAAATTTAACAAGATACACTTCCACTTTCAATGTGACACACATCAATGATTTCAAATAGAAATTCGCGGGAAAATTTCTCGCTAAAGTTCCCGCTAATTCATATTCATTCATGTCATATTTACGAATCTCTATTCATACGAAGATGAACAGTGTACTGTTTAGAATGCGACCTTTGGCACTGTTCACTAGTCACCGATTGCTAGTTTCAGACTTTCGAAAGCATAAAAAATGGTGTCGTATATCGCTCTCACCAATATCAGAAATGTTTCATTCATTCTATGATTGTCCTCCAGAGCGTATTGAGTGACACAAGATTTTTATGTTCTCCGAAATCGGATATATGCTACCTGTTCTTTGAAACGAGTTTTAATATCTTGCTTAGTCTGACCGATATATTTTTCATAGTTCTCGCAGCTCATTTCATGTATCCCGACTTTCAATTTTCCAATATTTTAGGATTACCTAATATTTCCTAGAGCAAGTCAAAACTTTTGAGTTCAACTTTTTAAAAATTTTATCTAATCCGTTGGTGTATCTTATTTTATACGGAACTTTGAATTCATATCTTTTCGAAAAGCAGAAAATTTACGAACATTCTTCCGAAATTTACGATTCCTAATCAACTTATCTACTAGATTTGAAATATACCTATTGTTTTCAGCTACTTTCCTACTAACATTTTTTCTGAATATCGTATCTTTTCCACTTAAGTGAAAAGTAACATTTTGTGTTGTGAACTATAAGGAATATAACTGAAAGTACTAGTATTATTTCTATAGACATTGAAAAAAATATTGAAACAAATAAATACGTAACTCAAAGCTCAATACTAGACAATTCTGACGACTATCACCTCTAAAATTGTCATCTGTCAAGAAATTAAGGTTCCTGTTCCGTGCTTTTTTCTCCTTCATGGTATCTCAGAGTAATTACTCTGAGCATGGTATTCTATCATGGCATCTATTTCTTTTTAGTCTGTACGATCTCTTTTCTCTCTCTCTCTCTCTCTCATGGCCAGTCCATCCTATTAAGTATATGCCAAAGTTACTTTCTTGAATAGTTCACATTCTTTACTTAAGTACGTATGTAATGCTATACTTGAATAATCATTATTGGAATATCCACACAAAAACAATATCGTCTCATTTCATCCAGTGTTCAAGAAACTATCCAAATAGCGACCAGTAGCACGAATCTATTTATTACCAGCAATAATAATTTTTTCAAGTTTGATGTAATTATATGTCAAAACGATCGTCAACGCAGGTCTGCACTATATGCAGGTTAGCAAATTGTTCTCAGTAGATATTGATCTCGTAATATCGACCAGATTATTCATGTGAAATTTTTCCATACTGAAAGGGTGGGGGTGGAATTTTTTTGTTCGAAAATGATCAACCTGGTCAAGATTTATGTCTGGGAGACCCGACCCGCAAAATGTATTTTCAGTTTTTTGAGAACTGTGAAATTATTGAAGGGAGGTTGGAAATTTTTTCTGTCGAAAATGAATAATCCGGTCAAAATCCATAACTGGCAGACCCGACCTGTAAGAATTTCTGACGATCTACAAGGTTTATTTTCAATTTAATGAGGAATCTGGAACTTTTCCATACTCGAAGGGTGGGGGTTGGAATTTTTTATCGAAAATTATCAACCTGGTCGAGATTCATGTCTGGGAGACCTGACCTGCAAGAATTTCCACCGACCTGAACAAAACATTTTTCCAATTTATTGAGAATTGTGAAACTTTGGGGAGGGGCGGAAAATTTTTCTGTCGAAAATGATTAACCTGGTCGAGATTCATGCCTGACAGACCCAACCTGCAAGAATGTCTGCCGACCTGCATGATGAGGAATGTGGAATTTTTCCATACTCAAGGGTAGGGGTTGGATTTTTTTTATCGAAAATGATCAACCTGTTCGAGATTCATGTCTGGGAGACCCGACCTGCAAGAATTTCCGCCGACCTGCAAAATGTATTTTCAATTTTTTGAGAATTGTGAAGTTTTTGGGCGGGGGGTTCGAAATTTTTTCTGTCGAAAATGAATAATCTGGTCGAGATTCATATCTGGGAGACCCAACCTGCAAGAACTTCTGTCTTCCTACAAAATTACGAGAGCAATGTTTACCGAGAACAATTTGCTGACCTGCAGACCTGCAAAAAAAAATTATAGAACGCTGGCAACTAACTATTGGCAATATCTTGCGGCAACATCAGAACTACCCCACTTGGTGTACACAGAAATTTCTGAAACAAAGGCGCAACCATAGAATAGTAATGTGACGCAACTCAGATTCACCAGTGTATATATAGACATCTTACTCTAGACAGTCTCTCTTTGTCTATCGTCGGGTTGAGTTCGGGTTGAGCGACGTCTGGAGTTTTGTATTCGACGTTTCTGCTCTAATTTTGGAGTCACTTTCGAGAATTTGAAGTGACTCGACGCCGGGAAATGTGCCTACTCCATAGGTCTTGCCATGATTTCTCTCTAAGGTCTCAATCTGTTTACTGGACGACTGAGGTGTGGATTGGTGTTCAGTGGCCATCGACACATCGATTACAGCATGATCACCAATCAGACAAAGCTGTAACCCTCCCGAATTGAGCTGGCTAAATGCGCCGTACGGAAGCAAAAATCAGATAACCTAGAGAGAGAGAGAGAAACGTTTAGGCTGTTTACTTATGTACGGTGGTTTAGGTTATGTTATAATTTATCTTTTTTGGTATTTTGTAGCTGTCTATCAAAAATTTTTGTATATTTAAATTTATTATGTGATTTTTCACTTGCCCAACTTGTCAGCATCAAAAATGTTAGAGAAATGCAGATTGTGTTCATCATCCACAGCGTTGATTTCCATGACTTCTGGAAAACGTAGACAAATTAGAGATTACATTAGAAAATTGATTGAAATAACTACTGGAATACAGGTAAGGTAAATATAAACACTGCTGACGTAAAAAATTCCCACTTTTAATTGAAGGGTGCCTAAAAAGAAGCAGTTTTTAGTACTTTTTATTTTTTAATAAGTGTGTTACTGGTCGATGAAAGGGCGCCATAAACTTTTTTGATAGCTGCATAGAAAATTACTTCATAAACATTCCAAAATGTATGAAATGAATTTATTAAACGAACTTCATTATTGCTAGTAACTGAATAATTCAAAATATTTATTTACTTAAGTGAGTGATTTTTAGAAAAAAATAAATAAGTTGCCAATTACTCAGGAAACAGAAATGTTTTTTCCTTTCTATTTGATACAGAATCAATAGCTTTTTCTTTGTGGCGAGTGACGACACTTGTATTTTTTCCGTCAATAAGTACAATAAAAAATTATGCTATTTTCTGTAAATTGTATCCAACGACATCTAGTCCTTTTCAAAAGTTAAAAGAGTATGAACTTTTCACGTACTCATTATATCTTCTTCGAAGTAATAAATCTATTAGAAATATTTCTGTTTTTTAGATATCGGAATATTCATAAAACAAATTGCTATCATCCTTAGTATTATTTTTATTTTTCTATAAGTATTTTCGAATCAAAGTTTACTTTTATACTACTATATTATTTCACCGTCTGTGCCTTGGGCTTGACTTACATCCTTCGACACATTTCCTGTGAAATTTACATGTGGGGGTTTCTCGCAACGCAAGAAAGTACTAATGGAGAGGCTGGAAGATTTAGCCAACAAATACCAAGTTTGAAGCAAGATATTAGAAAAATTCTGTCAGCAGACACAACTTTTTAATCATCATTGGATAATCTACTTCAGTAGGTATGTGGTAGAAGAGTGGAGGCCAATGAACAGAGAAAAACACGCTCTGTCCAGCTTACTATAGCTAGCCGAATTACCAAAAAGAAAACCTCTCATCAGACCTTTTTATTGTAACACAAATAGGCATCCTATCAGCCAGGAGCACACAGGCAACAGCAACCATAAGCCAGTCTAATTCTCAACAGGAAGACTTGTGAACAATAGTATACAATTGGCATTGAAAATCAGATTTCAACAAAGTAGCTGAAACTTTCAAATGTCTGTCTAACTTTGGAAACCGAGATCAAAGTCTTTCGAAGTATACCCGCCAAGGAAAGTTATTCTGAGATACAAAAACTCGTGAAGACCCGAGGCAACTTCCACTATAAAGTGGCATAAACAAAAATAATAATGAAAAACTACTTCATTCCTTCCATAAGGAACTCTCCACTCATTGAATTTTGACCAGCATTACTACAGAAATTCAGGTCAATAAAGTTAAAAACTACTTCATTCCTTCCATAAAGAACTGTCCACTCATTGAATTCAGGTCAATAAAGTTAGATCCAGGTGTTCTGTTTAAGTAAATATAATTAATACGATAGTCATTAATAACTGGATGCATTATACTGAAAAATGATTGGCAGTGACATTTGGTTACATTAGGATGCGTGTAATTGATTACACACCATTCATAGAATTTAGTTGAATCTTTCTGGAGAAATGAAAAACATCATGCAGACAATGGATTCAAAGATCTTGATATCATCGGTGTTGTGGTATAAATACAGTTTTTATGTCGTGTACCTCCCTGTCTATTGGTGTGATGTTAACTTACACATCGAGAAAGAACATTTTTGTTGTGGCGAAATAAAAGTATTTTCAATAGATTCATTTTGAGTCAAAGGTTCCAAATTTTACTTATTGTCCCCTTTCTCTATTTTAATATTCCATTTGAACGTGAAACTTGTATCCAGAAAAACCAAATGTGTTGCAATTCTGGTGTGTAGAAGTTTTTATTTTGGATTTACTCTATGCCAGAATAAAATTATTGCAGAGATGTATTTATGTATATTTCTAAAACTACCTCTTTCAACTTCATTATAACTTTTTTAGGGTATCAAAAATTATTTTCAATAGTTGAATTTTGAAAATAATGTTTCAGATGATTTATTCTGAAATAAATTCACAATACGGTTTCAAAGAGATCTATCAACGAATTCGATAATACTATAAAATATTGTAAAGGCTTGCCACTCAAGTGATTAATTAACTCGTCATTATTATAGAAATGTCGGTGGTTTGAGGTCTAATATTCCGAATTTTGGTGTATTGCTTATGCCAATTTGTTATGGTAACATAATAGGGAATTGTACTCATTATGAACTTTGATTTTATGAATGTATCATCTTTTTTTGTGAAAGATTGCAATCTAGTAACATGAGTGAAGGCGGTGGGATACTATAGCATTCTAGGTCAATCTTAAACCAACATTGAATCAAATGTAACATATGTTCACATTTTCAGCTGTTCAGTATGTTTAGTTTGTTGGCGAGAGGCATTAAAGTTATAAGTGTTTTGCATGTTCGTCGATTTTCTGCTGGCAAAAATAATGGATCAAAAATTTGCATCAAATTTTCTCTAAAAAATGGCATTAAGTGCTCAAAAACACTTGAAATGTTGACAGTTGCATATGATGATTGTACTCTCGAGCCAGAAAAATGTTAATAAGTGGTACAAGCTTTTCACAGAAAGTCTATAAGATGTGAATGATGAAGCTCGTACTGGACGCCCAGTACAATAATGACCCATGAAAATGTTGAGATAAAGAAAATTGTTATGGACAATCGTCGAATGACTCTTTAGAGGAGTTGCTGAGGATGTGGAGTTGCTGAGGATGTCGACATATCGGTTGGCTCATGCCATACAATTTTTGACATGGAGCGTGTGGCAGCGAAATTCGTTCCAAAATTGCTGAATTTTGACCAAAAAAAACCGTTGTATGAGCATCGCTCAGGAATTGTTGAATGACTTCAAGGGCGATCCAGATTTGCTCAAAAGGGTCATATCTGGTGAGGAATCATGAGTATATAGTTATGACATCGAAACCAAAGTCCAATCGTCCCAATGGAAGGGCCCAGGAGAGTCAAGACCAAAAAAGCACGCCAAGTTCGATCAAATGACAAGGTTTTGCTCACTGTTTTCTTCCATTAATGTGGCGAAGGGCATCAGAAGTTCTTGCCATATGGTCGTACGATCAATTTGGAGTATTATCTTGGGGTTATGCGCTGCTTGCGGAAAGCAATACGAAGAAAACGTCCGGTATTGTGGAAAAAAATTCATGGCTTTTGCATCACGCTGAATGTCATTGCTTGTTTCTAATTTCTTGGCCATACACAACACTATAATCATGCCTCAGCCACCATATTCACCAGGTTTGGCCTCCTGTTCCCAAGACTAAAGAAACCCATGAAGGGACGGCGTTTTGCGACGATTGAGGAGATAAAAACCGAATTGCTGAGAGACCTCAGACCAGTTTTGAAGAATGGAACAAACGCTGGCACATGTAAGTGTGTTATATCTGAGAGGGACTACTTTGAAGGGGGCGAAATAGAAATTGTTGAATAAATATATATTTTCTGAGAAGATGGGAATTCACATTATTTTTTGAGAGAAAGGGAGAGAGTTAAGAAACAGCCAAGATTGGAGCAGGTGAAAATGCAGCCAGAGACAAGAAAAATGAGAACTCACTTGCAAAGTTTAAACACATGGAACTAACAGTGAATAGTTGGAATGGAGGATGGCTCAAATAAATTTGAATGATTGTTTCAAATTTTTAAAATCTCCAAAATGTTTTTTCAATATACATATACATTATATCAAAATTTCGTTCCCAATACTTTTGTAAATATGAATAACCACAATTGGAATTCTGAAATCTTTTCATTGGTATCATAACACGTAGTCGTTAACATACGAATTAGGAATTATTATAAAATACAATATTTATTACTAGGAATTAATTGTTCATTTGTTCATTCAATTACCCTTACATAAGTTTATGGTTGGTCCAGAGGTAAATAAAACCTCTAACATAGCTGAAAGATTTAGCTTTAGTTGTCTTCTGATGAAGACGCAAAAGACGTGTCGACAGTCAGCACTTTCGTTCTGGTCTGGGAAAAATGTTTTCGAAAGATTCTTGCAATTATGAAATGTATTTAATTTACTCATTTTCCGAAGATTCGCTGGTTTTTCTTTAGAATTCCTTTTCCCAAACAGAAAAACTTCTGTATTAACATTGTTGGATCATTAACAATTATTTCACTGTATGTTTGATTTTTTTATATACAGGTTTCGAGTTTCATGAATTTTAGTACCTCCTTTTTGTTTTGCAGTTCAAGAAAAATGATGTTCTCAATCTCATTTGTTTTACATGCATGCTACAAATTTATAACTTTTACATATTTCGGACCAGGTCGCTTGAGAACGAGAAAAGTTTGGAGGTATGAAATATTTGAATAAAATTATCATATATTCTTCATATCTTTTTCTTTTCTTTTAGGTTCTTATTGGAACACATGAAATGGCCCATAAAAGTAGTAAAACTCTTCTTGAACTGTGTGATATCGAAATACCAGACCTTGAAGAATTGAAAACGGAAATTCTTCCATGGATACAATCAAAACTGAAAGATCTAGAATGTAATGAGTATAAAAACAGTTGTAATTTCAGAAATGATAAGGCAAAGCCCCCAAGAAGACATGATATGGATCAGAGTTCTGATATAAGTACACAAACAACAGCTTCTACTGTAGTGATGATTGACGAACACATCCAAGTTGACCCTGCAGTAACGTGGAGTGTCAGTACTCAAATATCAGTGCAAACTGTTGACAAAAGAACACAGTGCTGTCTTTTCACACCTACAACTGATGCCACTGCACAAACAGATTCCAAATTGGAAGATAAAGAGACCCAGCATGGCCATGTTTTGGAGTCCAAAGAAAAAGGCATTCAGTGTAATGATTTTGTATGTATAACACCCTCATTGAAAATCGAAAGTTGTTCTATATCTGACTGTTCAAAAACTGTAATCCCAATTAGTGACAATATCAGTAATAAAAAGAAGGAAAACACGACTCCAAAGAGAGTTAGTTTCCCGATTAATGAAACAAATATGCCAGAAAAACAACATGACACAGTGTGTGATTCTGAATCAGAATATGGGAACGGTTCAGTTGAAGGTGATCATGTAGAAACTGAAAAAAATATATCTTTTTTGAACGCCCTTTGTCTGATATCCATAGACAGCATAAGTGAAAAACAAACAAACTATGTCTCACCTCAGCGAGATACAAGGCTAGCCAGACGGAAAAAAATGAATTTTTCACCTAACAGAACTAGTCAGGGTGGTTCAGGGGAAAATGCGGATTTAGCTGAAAATGACAAACCCTCAACAATATTTGAAGATGAGAATGATAAGATAGAAATAGAGAAAAATGCCCTGCATGTTCCCTCGAGACAATCAGATCGCTCTGATGTTGAGAAGATTGAAAATATTTCACTGACGCTTGAGGCCAAAAGTGAACCAAATACTCCACAAACACCAGAGAGAGAAAATAATTTTGATGAGGAAGCGTGCGCCAAAACTGGTTTCCAACCGCAGTGCTTGAGATTTGACTCTCCCAGGTCTTCCCAATTATTAGCTGTAACAAACAAAGTGCAGTACGTTAAAATCTGTAGAGAGTGCGACCATACAATGTACTCAAAACATGAGGCAGCAGTGCATAAAAAGTCTCATATGCGTTGTTCACTTTGTAAAAAGAAATTCACAAGTATAATCAAGGCAAAAGAACACTTCAGATCAAAATGTGACAAAAAAATGACTACAATGTCTCCTGTGGTATATTTGAATAAAATGGAAATACCCAAAGCTAGTGTAAAACCGCCCTCTATCAAAGAATCGGATGATTCAGATTCTGACAAAAAGCGCAGGAATAGGGACAAAATAAAATCACCAAGAAAAAAATTGAAAACGTGAAAGTCAGTTTTTAATTTTATTTTTTAGACCATGATTACATATTTTAATTCAAAGGGTATTCCAATGAAAATACTCTAACTTGAATAAGTTAAGTTATAGTTTGGAAACTAGTATAGTCCATTTCCGGATAATGCCATGCATTTCGAAAAGGATGTACAATTTTGCTCTGCAGGAGGTGTTTTCGTTAAATTCATTCTATGAATGCAGCTGTAGTGAAGATTCATGAAATAAGACAGTTTTTTTAGAAACGAAGGAAGTCAACTTGGTTGGTGAAACGTGTGTCAAGAAGAGTAATGCAGTTTTATTGTATGGAAAAAGTGCTTGTTGTGGATTTATTCTACGCCAGAGGTTCCAGTTATATCTTTCAATTTTACTTATAACTTATGAACAGCAGTCCACTTTCAGTCGAGCATAAAGACCCACCTTAGGTCACAATTTCTTTTCAGAGTCTTCGTACCAATTTTTCAAGACCCACTTTTCAAAAAATAAATTAAAAAAAAAATCATTTAAAGATGACATTCATGGCAGGATCCTAAATTATTATGTATTAATTAGAAACAAATTTTATACGGTTTGGTTGAACAAACTATTTAGTGAATTACAGGCAAATTATTGAGTCTGAAGTTTTCATATTTACCGAATTCCTATTCTTGGTGAACTGAATATACAATCATGTTGATTGCTTCCTTAAATTTCCTCTTGAATCAATGCTCGTATTCTCAGAGGACGCCACTTCTAGACCATTTCTGATTCCACTAATGCAACCGGATTCAGATTATATTCTTTGCTCTTCATTTTTTAGGGTTAATAAACTAGGATTCATAAACAAGGAATCAGAATCATGTTGATTGCTTCCTTAAATTTCCTCTTGAATCAATGCTCGAATTCTCAGAGGACGCCACTTCTAGACCACTTCTGATTCCACTAATGTAACCGGATAGAGATGATATTCTTTGCTCTTTATTCTGTAGGGTTAATAAACTAGGAATCAGAACTATGGAGATTCAACTTTCATGTCTTGTGAATTTAGGGTAATGAAAGATTACTCATGCGTCATCAATTTATATATCCGAAAAAAACTTAATGAAAACGAAAAAACGAGGCTACTACTCAGAACAACCTAATTTTCAATGAAGAAATGTTTTCATTTGCGAAATTCACTAAAAAGTAAAAAATACATTATATTCCAGCTTCGACATCTGGCCAATTAAAAATTCCAGAAGGCGTAACGTTATTAGATTCATTCCCAATTTGAAGTTAAATTCCACAGTTATGATATAAAATTTACTATGAAATGCTCACAGATTATTTGTGTAATGTAATGGAATTGAAACAGTAGAAACTTCAAAGAACAACATTAAACTGTCAAACGATGGTAAACTACATTAGTTTGTATCAAACTTCAACTATTTTGTCTTCGTTTTTCACTTATGAAAGGAAAGAATGCTATATAAAAGTATTTGTTTTATTGTATGCTATTGATGGCGCATGTGTAATATTTTTTATCAAAAAATATTTTATTAGGTAGAAATCTTATATTTTCACAGCCCAAAAATTTGGTCCATTTTGACATCTTTTTAAGTGGCAGCAGTTTTTACTCATCATTTTTATGCCTAGTGTTGCGGTCGTGCACATTTTCAAAACTTATTTCATATTGGAATAGATTATTTTTTATGTATATTGAATTTTCCATAATATAGAGAGAAGGAAAGGTTTCAAATAGCTAATATTTTGAAATAATGAAGACAAATTTCGATAAAAATGTAAAAAAATATTTTATATATTCATAGAGTTACAGAATAGAATTACTATTCAACTTAATTTTAAAACTTTGTAGTTGCCATTTGAAGGATTTAACAAAAAAACACATGATTTTAGATGGTTTTAGTCTCATATTATTCTCATATTTGTTTTAGGTATTTTAACAATTGTGGTTTATATGGGTATAGAAAGAGCAAAACTTTTTAGTCCATCTCGATTAGTTACTACGTAAATTAAAAGTATTGAAAAATGTTCTATCAGTGACTTGTCATATTTAATAATTTTGCCTATCAAAAAAAGGGGCAAGAAATTGTACAGATATTTATCTTAAAAATGGAGAACGCTTCACGATTTTGCTTGTCATCTGATTTTAAAATATTTCCTAGCTGTATATCATCAATTATTATTTATCACTATTGCTATCTCTGAAATGGTGAGACTCACAATGTTGGTTGAATTAGATAAAAAGTGTCAATTTTGAAGGATAATGAAAATATTCAGTATCAATTAACAGCACTACATTTTTTTAATGTGTAAACTTTTCGATTACATAGAATGCCACAGAGACTTGAAAAAACAAATTGTGACTTTTGGTGTTAAGGAAACGATAAGAATTTTGATCTCGAATGGAGACTGTTGTTGAACAATATTTTTAGTTTTCAAGGAGTCATGGATATTCTTGATGGCAGTTCTATGTATATTAATTTATTTCACGTGATTTATTATATGTACCAATAAAAATTCTTTTGAATCCGACTCTCATTACACTAATGGGGAATACTTTTCACTTATGTAAAAGTTTATAGTTATGATGATATGAATAGTTCTTTATTAATTACGGAATCCAAAATAGAGTTTTCAAATGGTTCGTTATCACAGGAAATTAAGAGGAATCACTTTTTGTCTAGCATAAAAAATATATTTTCTTTGGTGTTCCTTAAGAAAATGTGTTAATGATGGTGAATTAATAGTGAAAGTGAAACAGCATTTGTACAATCAATACGTGTTTGGGGAATAATACAGAAAATTGAAAGCAAAAGGGTCCTGAAAATTGATTATATCAAGTATTTCCAAAGGTACAGGTGATACATATTGACGTAGTTCAATGAATTTTATCGACAGAAGTGGAGAAATATTGAAGTAAATGAAAACTATAATTTCTCAATTAACTGAAAATATCAAAATTTGTTATAGAACCAAGGAGTGTATGAAAAAACAAAATAAGTAAAAAAAAATTTACGCTGAAAGGGTTGATTGAAAAAAAAGATAATAATGATGTAGCTAATCTACTGAACGCTAAAAAATAATTCGGATGGTCCTTGGAGCAGTCATCACAGCAATCTACGGTATTGATCAGATAGAAAAAATTAAAAAATCGTTGGGCGTAGTATTTACACATTTGCTCAGGTTACGCTACGCCCAACGATTTTATTTTTTTTATCTGATCGATACCGTAGATTGCTGAGGAGAGTGGTGTGATGACTGCTACCTAGAACCCTCCTAATTATCTTTTAGCGTTTAGCACAATATTTCGATCATTATTATGTTTTTTTTTTTCGATAAAACCGTTCAACATATTTTATTTTCAAGTTTTTAGTTTCTGATTTTGTTACTCAATTCTTCTCATTATGTTTAGTTCATTTAGAGTCTCAGTTTTACAAGATTAATTTCTCGACAATTTGTTGCAATTTAACGCCGATTTTATACCGCTCGTCCAAATTCCAATAGTGAACAACATGTGGGTACGGGACCTGGCACACCGGTGATCGGCGTCGATCACCGGTAAGCATGTGGCTCACTATTGGAATTTGGACGACCGGTATAAAATCGGCCGTCCACAATCGGTGTGTGTGCAATTAGAAGGCTAGCCTTAGGCAAATAGCCTAATGGAATTTGCATCGTCACCGATCGGCGTGTGTGCCAGGTCCCGTACCCACATGTGGTTCACTATTGGAATTTGGCCGTCCAAAATCGGTGTGTGTGCATTTAGCGTAACGCTAGTTGCACACACACCGATTTTGGACGGCCAGTATAAAATCGGCCGATATTTTATTGGTAGCGGGTGCTTGCACAATCACCGGATTTTTATCGGTCAAACAATCAGTTGCTTTGTTATCGTATTAGCACGCGCTACCAAAACGAAGTTAATGCGTAGTAACTACAATTTCACCGAGCATTCGAGACTGGAATGGTCGGTAAAAATTCGGTGAGTATGCAAGAGTGTATTTAGTCATGTACGCCACTACTTCTCGGTACTGCCGGCGATACAGTGGCAGTGGACGGCTGCTCACCGGTATTTTACCGGCGACGATCACCGGTAGGCCTGTGTGCAAGGTCCCGTTCCCACATGTGGTTCACTATTGGAATTCGGACGTCCGGTACAAAGTCGGCCGTCCAAAATCGGTGTGTGTGCTACTAGCGTAACGCTAATTGCATACACACCGATTTTATACCGGTCGTCCAAATTCCAATAGTGAACCACATTTGGGAACGGGACCAGGCACTCACGCCGACCGGTGATCCGCCGGTAAAATACAGGTGAGCAGCCGTCCACTGCCACTGTATCGCCGGCAGTACCGGGAAGTAGTGGCGTACATGACTAAATACACCCTTGCATACTCACCGATTTTATACCGACCATTCAAGTTTCGACTGCTCGGTGAAATTGTAGTTACTACGTATTAACTTAGTTTTGGTGGTGCGTGCTAATGACGGTGACCGGTAAAAATCCGGTGAGTCTGCAAGCACCCGCTACCAATAAAATATCGGCCGATTTTATACTGGCCGTCCAAAATCGGTGTGTGTGCAACTAGCGTCACTCCTCAATAAATAAACCTTCCAAAACTTTACTAGACTTAGAGCCACGTATGCTTGTCCTTCAAACAATTTCGAGCCTATAAATACACAACTGCGTGGTCTACAGTGTTGCATTGCATTTTGTGGACAGTGGAAGCCCATGAGAAAATTAAGGGTAACATTCTTCTTTTAGCCGTCCCATAATTGAACTTCGCTGGAATCTATGGCTTTAGGGTGGATAACATGTACGCCGTCTCTTCCAAAGTTGATCTGAACTGACGATATATCTGTTTCGTACATTTGAGTTCGACGAAACTGAGGCCTAACAGTTTTTGCAATGCAGCCGATAGCACGTTTACCAATCCTGTCGATACGTCAATATTGGACTGCTATTGAGGTAGTTGTGAAATGATATGTAATCCGCCATTTTGTAGGTGCGGCCTACTACTACTATTTTACCGAGTTCGCTGCTGGCAGTCGCCGAATACAGTATCTCAGTAGCTCTGATATCGATATCGAAAAAGTGTCCTTTGTGATTATTTTTAGTGCGAGTCAGTTTTCACCATACTTTATCTTTCGGATAAGTTGAGGCGAGTTGGTAAATCCCTTCCGTTACGGGAAGAAAATATTTTCTGAAGGTAGTGAAAGCCACCAAACTTTTTAAACAACTTTGTCACTAAGTCCAAATTCAATACATTTTTCATTGGTGTTTCGAAAGACAGATCTTCACTACACTTCCCAACAGAGAATGCAAATAAATTGAAAGTCAGCACATTTTCCACGAGTGTTGGTATACCACACACTAGGGACTGTATACAAGAAAGGGGAAAACAACTCCGGGGCCGGACCCCGGAGCCTCTCCAAAAAAAGGTTTGTATCAAAAATCCTATAAATACAAACAAGTCTAGTAGTAAAACTAAGTGTTCTACTAGACCTCAGACCCCAGGACACAAACCAACCTACCTTAAAGGCCCGGGTAGTGACAGAGAGAGTCTGTTAAGTGATATCTCTTCACTAGGCAGGCCCAGTAGCAATAGCGGTAAAGAGAAAAAGAAATCTCCA